TTTTTTGATTTCAATATGTATGCACCAACAGTCTGTAAGAAACTTCTATGTAAGTATTTCATGGCCTAAATAAAACAAACTTTTTCTGAGGGGCTGGGAAAGTTACCGATATGGTACAAATAACTTTACTAAGTAGTATGTACTGCTGCCGAAAACGAACTTCAAAAAGATTAAAATCGGCTTCAAACAGATAAGAATCTGCGATGTGGGTTAGAAAGTGCGTAGAGAAGTTTTGAAAATCATTCTTATTCATCATTGTTCTGTCAAAACTCACTGGCAGCCGTTCTGAACACTCAGTAGCGTTTAGTCTTGTACTCACAAGATCCAAAAATTATCTGCTGCTCAGAGGTTTAATATATTTGCCAGCTTTTTATTTTCAAGAAAAGACACACACTAAGATGTTATTCGGTTCAGCCTTGTAATTACTTAAGGCTTCTTTATTTATATTTTGACTATAATTTTTAATTCCAATTTTGGCTAAACAAGAAACATGTATTATAAAAAGTGTAAATCTTCTCCAAATTAACCTACTGCAAAGCTATGCGACGAAAGTGATTATTCAGCGGACCTTCATCTGAGTAGCCGGCAATCTCTTGCGGTATAATGCCTGACTCCTCTATGGAGGTGCATGGACGACACATGCACTCGAGTGGGGCTTTTGTTAGAACCTTCTTGAATTTGCGTTCGCCATGTTTGGCCTTTGGGCAGAAGAGCGAGACAGCAGCTTCACGTTCACCCGACTCTTGGCAGCACATACAGGAGCGCTCCATTTGCCATATTTTACTGCCGGAGACCTAAATGAGGATAGAAAAAAAACGGGTGTAGTAAGTTATATTACACCGTGCGACAAAAACCAAAAATTTTTAAAACACACGGAAAAATAGTATACTGCGATTTACATTTTTCTCTATAACGCACAGTGCTGTATGAGCGGGCAAAAATCAAAAAAATTGTTGTTACGTATGTCAACGTGTTTGGTATCGTTGGAAAGGAAATTTATCCTAGATTAAGGATCTGGACTTAGTTTTTGTTTTTATCTCATAAGGTTCTCACAAAAACCTCTTAAAGTTGTGTGTTTTTTATATATTTTTTCTTTTATGAAAATGCCTTTAACTGGAGTCTTTAAAAAAAAAATTGCTAAAAATACAATTTATCATACTTTATCTTAAGACACAATTTTTCCAATTAGAAAATCTGTAAGGAAACCACTCTATAGAGCTTTTTAAAAAATATTGAGTTTCCTGGCTGGAATGGCCTATTTGCTACACCCTAAAATTGGTTGCAGAAAATTTAAAAAATTCCTAAGTTTACAAAGGGATAAAAAAAAAATATGTAAAAGTATGTTTTTTTTTATTCTTTTATTTGAAATAAGGGGAATTTTTCTTTGAAATAAAAAAAAAAGTCTGCAGACTCATTGCGCTTTTCGAAGAAAATCGTTTTTTTAAAGGTTATAAAATAAACTTTTGCAAAAAAAAAATTTCACTGATTACAGTTACCACAGTATTTTCCATTACTTAAATGCCAAAACATTCTTTAAAAATAGTAAAGTTTATTACTGTAGACACACGCGGTAGTGTTCTGTGCTGTGTAGTGAAGCGTAAAATACTGAAAAAACTAATATTAATATGAATTCAATTATAAAAAACTCAATTTTAGCTGATATCTGGATTTCTACTCGTCCATCAGATAGAGTGTCTGCATTATCTGCATTTTTTGAAGACAAATTAATACACGCTAAATGCGACAAAGCACTTTTGAATCAAAAAATACAACTTTTTAATAGTGAGATGAAAAATAAGTGGAATTATAGTGGCCGCAAAAGAAGCGCTTTTGAAAAAACATATTCTAAATGGCTAAATTGGACATTCCTTTCCCTTCCGGATTCCAATGGAAATAAGGATAAATGTGCTGAACGGGGAAGACCTTCTAAAGAAGAATTTTGCGAAGCTTCACGGAGAACAAAAAATCGAAGGGTAGAGCATTTGTTGAAAAACTATTCCATCGAAGAGCTCGAGTATGCTCTGAAAAAAATGAAAAAAGCAAGCAAAGTTGAATGTTGTGAAAGTAGTTCCGAAGGTTTGCCCATATCTGATTCACTCGCACTATACATAGATCTGAACTTATCAGATCGTAAATATAATAGTTTACGTGCAAAAATAAACCGGTTGCATAAAGATTGTATACCGAGCTTAAACGCATTGCAAACAAAAAAAACAAACTTTGCTGCCAACGATTAAATCGACTGAATATTCAGCCGAAGTTGATCTGAAATCATTATTGCTGAAAACAACGCAAAGTATTTTAGAACTAAGCCCAGATAATGGTGACATAACCAAAGCTTCTTTGGTTTGTAAGTGGGGCATGGATGGAAGTTCGGGGCATAGCCGCTATAAGCAAAATTTTGGTGACGAAAAATTAACGGATGAGTTTATGTTCATCATTGCGCTAGTTCCTCTGAGGTAACAAAAAATTATCTAATATGTCTTCCAAAAATATTCAATAGCCTTTAAAAATAAATTCGAGTTTAGATCAGTAAATGGCATTTTAATTTACATTGACAACTTTTTACAGTATTATTTTGCAAAAGGTTGGTCTGAATTAATTAATTTACTCGATTACCTATTTTGCGATATGACGGTCTTATATCTTTTCGACAAGCCATATAAGTTATTAAAAAATAAATATTTTTTCCAGGTTAATTGATTTGTCATCCAACAATAAACGGCGTTAGATAAAACAAATAATTTTTGATTCAGTATTTTGCAACAACTCTTGTTCGTGCGAAGTAACTAATAAAAAGGAAAACAAAATTATATTTGTCTTTTGAGTATTTAATGTCGTCTTGAATGAATCAAATTTTTTAAGCGTGTGACATCCACACCAAAAGATATAATCAATTTAAAAAAACATTTTGTAGTCAAAAAGGACCAAAATGAAAGTAGCTGCCATTCCTAGAGGGTTTGCGTAAGAGAGATATAGGGAATCTTATTTGCCATGAATTAAGCCATAGAATGAAGCCTTGAAGTCTTTAATATTATTAGGAAAACGCCCTGTATAAATAATAAAATAACTACTCAGTATTGGAACTACTTCTGAATATCAAATTTTGCAGTTTCAATCTCAGTTTCCATGAAAAATGTAAGAGCTAGGTAAAAAAAAAATTGATTTTTGAAATCTCCGTACTCTAATCCACCAAGAAACGAATTTTTACTCAAATCCGTCCATTAGTCTATTTTTGCCCACTTTTTATATGGAGACACAGCACTGTGTGACGTCAGGATTTTTTTTTAAAGGCCTTGGAAATTTCAGGATATTATTGAATAAAAAAATTATTTAAAAGATTTGGTGCATTGTAGAGTAACAATATGGCTATCAGTTATAAGGAAAAATTCTGTAGGCTTTAAAAAAAACATTTAATTTTTTGTTGCACCAGCACGAATAAATGTTGAAAACGTCCTTTTAAAACTTTATCCTTTGATATCCTTGGAAATTTGCATTATTTATTTTTGAACAAAATATATGTCAAGGACTAGAATGTTAACTATCACATCCTCGAATTCAGTCCTTCTAACTTTCAGATAAAAAAAATTAGACGCTTCTCTTTATAAGACATTGATAGTTACAATATACATACTTGAAAATACTAGAATTATTACACTGTACAGCACTCCGCTGGGTATTGGATCAAACCACTTTTTTTTAAGAGATTGAGTCATAGGTAAAAAAGTTATTTCTCCGTTTTTCGAAGTTAGTCTCCGAAATCGAGATATGGGCCTTCGAAGTTCAAAATAGGATCTTTGGTAAACAATTATTTTTTTATTATTATATGTAAATAACTAAAAAAACTAAAAATACTGTCATAGACCGCCTTTTGCTCTTATTTAAATGGTTTATAACTATTTTTTTGTAAACTTATATTACAGGTGCTATAAGGTGGCAAATGTCGGTTCTTAGAAAAATTAAAAACCTTAAATTTCAAACAATTTTTAAATGATTTTTGAAAAGCTGGTATCGTTGTAAACATGACTTGGCCCCTCTTCTTCTCTTCTGATATACATATTTGTATACTTTGTATGTAAAAATTTGAGAAAAAAACATTTAAAAGGAAAAAATTCCTTTTTTTATAAAAAAAAATATTTTAAACAAAAAAATACTAATCGATTTTTAAAACATAGATATCGTTGTAAACACAATCAAATCTTTCTTCTTTTCTTCTGATACGCGTATTTGTATACTTCGTGTATAAAAATTTGAGAAAAAACACTTAAAATAAAAAATACCTTTTTTTATAAAAAAAAATATTTTAAACAAAAAAATTACAAACCGATTTTTAAAAAATTGGTATCGTTTTAAAGGATACCAGAAACCTTATACTTTCCTTATCCCAAAAATTTCTATTTATATACAGAGAGAAAAAATATAAAAAAGGGGCTATATAAACTCCGACCCCCTAGGTGAAAGCCTGGCTACGTCCTTGTATACAAAAAAATTTAAGTATTTAAGCCGTACATCATACGGTCAGTTTGTTCTTTTAGAGCGCATACATGGTTCCAAAATAACGATTCCAGTATCCTCATTTATGTATACTCTAACTAACAATATCTTATAAAGAGAAGTGTAAAGTTTTTCTTATCTAAAACTAATAAAGTTAGAAGGACGAAATTCGAGGATATCGTAGTTTAGATATTAGTCCTTGATATATATTTTTTCAAAAGTAAATATTGGAAATTTCCAGGGATATTCAAGGATAATATTTTAAAAGTACATTTTCAACACTTATTCGTTCCGGTGCATCCACAAATTATTATTTTATCAATTCCACGGAATTTTTCTTTTTAATTGATACCCCTTATTGTTATTCTACAATGCACCAAATCTTTTGAATAATTTCTTGATTCAATCATATTCTAGAAATTTCAAAGTCCTTTTAAAAAAATCCTGACGTCAGAGAGAAAAACTAAAAACGAAGTTTTACTATATTTGGCCCCCAGTTTTGTGAATATATTGATTTTTTCGTGTGTAAAATTGACTGTCGCACGGTTTTATATAATTACAAATTTTATTTTATTTTTGTAGAATTAACGCTTTTGCTTTAAATCTCTGCGCAAGTTAATAGGATTATTTATACACATTCTCATTATTTAAATTCAATTACAATGCAATATTAATTTCATTATCTTCTGTTCGTTTGTGAGGTTTTATAAAATAAGTTTTCTATTATTCGATTTTTTATGTGTCTGAGATCTAACAGGCGTTAGCCCGCATCTCTGCACATTCGACCAGGACGGCAACTAAAGTTTTCATTCATGATTTTATTCATGTATGCATTTAGGAAATTAACAATAAAATTAATAATGAAATTTACTTGTATATAACTAGCGCAGCGTCCGACACACGCAAATGATGGTATCGGCTTTGGCACACAGCCAGGATATTGGAGCACATGTATGACAGGTGTCACCTGACAATCATCACCAATGTGCGAAATTTCTGAAAAAAAAAAATTTTCAAAGCTAAAACGTAGGTTCACTAAAATTTTTCTCGTATACATATATAAAACATCAATTTTAAATTACCATTATCACCCGATGTGGCAGCTTCATCAGCTTGCGAATAGCTCAATCTTATAAATATAAAATAAATGCAATAAAAAATAACCAACGCAACAAAACGATGATTGGAACCCGATTTGGTTCTTAGTGTTACTCCAGCAACATTGCCCCGCCTCAACTTGCTTAACATTTTCACGATTTTACACCAATATGTTTTAGATAATATCAGCCTCTATTTTTAATTGTACGGTTACTTTTACACTAGCTGCTCCTGGTAAGATCTTTTGCGAATAAAGGCTCGCTGCACGTCCTACGCGCCGTTTTATACCCTACACCAAGAAGCAGCCGATTGGAGCTAATGGACACATTTCGTATGTTCGAAAATTATTTTCTAATGGCCGCCTCTAACTACGTACACACAAATGGAACTGACCGCTTAATTGCAATCGAATGCGTTAGCAAGCTCAATCTCACTGAGGCGCATAGCGTGTATCAGT